CCCGGCGCCGAGCATCCCCCGCTGTTCCGCAGGTCGCTCTCCCTAGTTGCTTGGGTCCTGCTGCTGTCATTTCGGACTTAGCCAACGTCGTCCTACCCCCCCCCCTCCGGCACCTGGATGTTTCCCTGCCCCTATATTACGTTACTCTGGGCCTCTTCTGCTGGTATTTCGTGTCTTTTTGCTTCTGACCCCCAACTGTTACCCTGGGACCTTCGCTGTGGCCCTGTCTCCACTGATGCCCTTCCCTGTCATTCTAGATTTCTTCTGGTCCTCTGAGTCCTCAGATGACTGTGCTCTTGCGTCCCCCCTTCTGTCCCAGCGCTGCCTGCTCAGTTTCTCTGCCTGGGCCTGGAAACCTGGGCTTGCTCTGAGGTGGGCCCTACCGTCCCCCCCAGGCCGGCGACTGCCTCGGTGGTTCCCACGCCCCGTGGCAGTGCTCCTTATTTCCCCCTAGTACTCCATGGTCCGCCCTGTCTTTGCGGAGGCTGGGACGGCAGCAGGAAAGGAGCTCTGCCAGCTTCCTCGCCTGCCCTGCCAGAGGAGGCCCTTGATATTCTACCACCCGTCTCCTCCCCTCTGGGCAAGCCTTCCAGCCTGGGGCTGCTTGAAGGGGGCAGTCGCATCGCACAGATGCAAAGTTCGGGGGAGAAAGAATCGGTCCGCTCAACCCTTTCCCCAGGTGGTGGCACAGTCTGAGTGTTTCTTGCCCCTTCCCCAGGCGAGGGCCCTGCTCAGGAGGCCCTGCAGTCCCTGAGCCGGCGGCTTCAGGTGCAGGAGAAGGAGATGGAGCTGGTAAAGGCAGCCCTGGCGGAAGCCCTTCGCCTGCTTCGGCTGCAGGAGCCCCCCACCTCCCTGCAGGACTCTGGCAGGACAGCTCCTGCAAGGACCAGGTATGCCTGGTGTCCCACCCTCTCTCTCCTCTGGGGCCTCAGAGGGCATCAGGTTGATTCGCTGTCTCCTCAGCAGCCCTGCAGCCCCACCAGGACTGCCACCCTCATGCAGCCCCTCCTTGGTGAGCAGAGGCACCCAGACGGAGACAGAGTTGGAGATGGCGCCATCCCCTGGACCCCCTGGCCTGAGCAATGGGCCCCCAGCCCCTCAGGGGGGCAGCGAAGAGCCTAGTGGGACCCAGTCTGAAGGAGGGGGCGGCAGCGGCCCTGGCACTGGCTCCCCAGGGATCCTCAGGCTTGTACAGCCCCCACAGTGCACTGACTCGTGAGTGTCCTGTGTCAGAGGCCGGGGGGCTGGCAGGACCAGGGAGCACGATTCGAGGGAATGACCTCCACCTGCTCACTGTGCCCCTCTCAGGGCCCGGCGAAATTCCTCTTCGTCCCCCTCAGAGCGGCCGCGACAGAAGCTCTCCCGGAAGGCAGCTTCCTCGGCCAACCTGTTATTGCGGTCGGGGAGCACAGAGAGGTGGGCGAGGCTCCCCCAACCTGCCCCGCCCCAGGCTCAGGCTCTCGACTTTCCTCATCCCTCACTCGCTTCCCTGGGTGGGGTGGGGGGACCTCATTGCCCAACAGGAAGAAAGGAACAAGCACTCCTGGGGCGCCTGCTGTATACCTGGCACTGTGCTAAATCCTCGACCTCCTCCATCTCATTCAGTCCCACGACATCCTTGGGGGGTAGGTGGTCTCATGCTGTTCATTGTCCAGGTGAGGAAGCAGGCTCAGAGAGGGTAAGTCATTTGCCTGGGGTCACACAGCTAGAGGCAGGATTCAAACTCAACTCTTCCCGACTCTAGTTCCCCTGCCCTTTCCACCGAAACACAATATACCTCTCGAGATTCCAAGAGGTTTTTCTAAAAGCTTCCATGATTTTCATGGATGACTGTCCTCAGAGTTGCAGCCCCTCCCCCTTCCCCAGTTTAGCAGACTTGACTTTTAGAGAGCAAAGGGAAATCCTAGTGGCTGAGCATAGTTGTCTCAGTGTGTCCAGGCCCCGGACATCTGAGTGTTCATTCCAGCCCTATCCTTGGTCTCTCCTTTATTCTCTGAAGAGGCATTGCCACCTTCTTATTATCTAATGACAGTGGTCTCTGGAATTCTGTCACTTTCCTCCTGAGAGATAAGGACTTGCTTGTTTACCTCCCAGATCCCAGAAAGGCAGGGCCGATGTACATTCTGGATTCACTTTTGTCCCATTTTGTAGGCAGGGAAATGAAAAAGTCCATAGCCAGGGATCTGTGGTCTGGAGGAAGGGGCTCCTCCCTGTCACCCCGCACTGCCTCTTATAAGCTTTATGGCCTTGTGCCATGCAATCAGCCCCTTTAGTCTCAGTCTGCTCGTTTCTCAAATGGAGCTGAAAGTCCCCATCTACTCTAGGGCCCTAAACACCCAGAATACAAACTAAAGCCTGCAGAGGTGACTGTGGTCTCTGGAGTAGCCTCCCTTCTTGTGTTCTACCCCTTCGCACTTATATCTTGGGACCTGACCCCAACCCCTATGCTTTTCTCTCTTCCCAACAGCCGTGGGGGGAAAGACCCCCTCTCCAGCCCTGGGGGTCCTGGATCTCGGAGGAGCAATTACAATTTAGGTAAGTTCAGAAGCATCTGGAAGAATTTGGATGAAAGAGTTAGAGTTTGGTCTAGAGCCCAAGGAGGTATTTTGGAGGTACCTGTGAGGTCTGGTGGGTAGAGTTCTGCTCTGGCTTTCCTGGAGGGAGGCTGCAGGGTGGTGGTTGACACACACCCCCCTTTTCTCTGTAGAAGGCATCTCGGTGAAGATGTTCCTTCGTGGCCGCCCAATTACCATGTACATCCCATCTGGCATCCGCAGCCGTGAGGAGTTGCCCAGTGGCCCACCCCCAGAGACCCTCAGCCTTGACTGGGTGTATCCTTCCCCCTCCAGGCCCATGGGAACCATCTTTCCCATCTTGGGACCCTCCCCCCTTTTTTATGGTTTCCTCCTGGGTCTGCAGGGACAGGGAACCCTCTGAATCCTCCCTTACCCTCCTCTGACAATGGCACTGCCAGCCAGAAGCTCTGTTCTCCTCTCTTTCTCATCCTGCCCTTGGTCTGACCCTTTCCTTGACCATGACCCCCACTCCAGTTATGGGTACAGGGGTCGTGACTCCCGCTCTAATCTGTTTGTGCTGCGTTCTGGGGAGGTGGTCTACTTTATCGCCTGTGTGGTGGTGCTGTACCGGCCTGGGGGAGGCCCAGGGGGTCCTG